AGAAATTCCCTACTTCCTTTTTTGTTTTTCGTCAATTAACACCTGCTGTACTGCCCTTTGCAAAGATCTATGAACACAATTAATTAAACACAGTAAAAGCAACATTATACCTAATAAAATACACAAGAATAAAAGAAACCCTGATTTTTAACAAAGATACAAACCAACTCATAAGTCCCCATCCCACAGCTAAATGCTCTAAGCCTAAATGACAGCTTCCTTAATTGCATTAAAGCTCTTGACAAACTGCAGCAACGACAAGTGGGACAAAGTTGACCACTAGCTCTCGTTGTCTCCCTTATCCCCTGGGTTGTCCGTTGTGGTGCCCCTCCCATTCACAGTGGCAGAAGATTTCCACGGTTTTACCCAGGGAGCCGGTACCCACTTTGGTCCAGAATCTGTAATGACACACATATATCTTCTACCGGTAACTTGTACTTCTGCTGGGCCTGTCCACTGTCCCGTGTTCAAATCCTTATACATTACTTTAATTCCTGTTGTTTTTACTGTTCATAAATCATTGCTCAAGGCACTGCTATGAATTACCATGGGAGGGTTATCGGCGTTGCCTGCCAACTGCAAAAAATTGAGTACATATAAAACTTTCCAAATTCTTTCTTGTGGGGAGAGACCTATTTCCCCTGTTTTTTGTTTAGCTAATAGTCCTTTAATTACCTGATGTGCCCTTTCGATAATAGCTTGACCTGTTGGAGAGTGTGAAATGCCTATGTAGTGTCGAACCCCTCACTGTTGACAAAACTCTGCCAAGGTATGAGAAGTGTACGTGGGTCCATTATCTGTTTTTATGGCTTGAGGAACACCCATAATCGCAAAACATCCTCTTAGGTGTTTTCTCACATGTTTTTCTGATTCACCTGTCAATGGTGTGGCCCAAATAACCGAAGAAAAAGTATCTATGGATACAGGTAGATACTTTAGCCTGCCGAACTCAGCAATATGAGTGACATCCATTTGCCATAATTGAAGATGCAGCAAGCCTCAAGGATTTACTCCTAAGCCAATGCCAAAACCAATCTGTTGGCAATCAGGACAAGATTGTACTATGCCTCGTGCATCTGCTAATGAAATAGCAAACTGACGAGAAAACACCTTTTCACTTTGATGGAAAAAGGCATGTTCAAAACTGTTCACCGGTGGTCCTGTCCACATTGGGCCTGCTAGCATGTCAGCTCGTTCGTTTCCTTGCGCTGGGCCTCCTTGTAGTCCAGAATGACTGCTAATGTGTGTAATAAAATACGCTACATTGCGTTGATTCAACAATGACAAAAGTTCACGGAAAAGACCCGACAGGACAACATTATTTAATTCTTTTAGAACTGCATGTTCCAACCTTTGAACTACTCCCACAACATAAAGAGAATCAGACACTATATTTAATGGTACTTCTGTCCATTGTGAAAAGACCCACACTACAGCTTTGAGTTCTAATGTCTGTAAGGAGTCCTTTTCCTGACCCTGTATGATGTGGTCTTGCCATTCGCCATCCTTTTTCCATGTAACTGCGGCCTTTCTGCTATTCTTGCTGGCATCTGTGAATACTGTAAGCCCTTGTACTGGTGTTTCAGATCTAATTGGAAAAGATTCAAAACTGTTTCTATGCAGAAAGGAAAACAATTTATGTGTGGGGTAGGTATTCACAATTTTGCCATTGTATCCTGCTAAAGCAATCTGCATATCCTGGGAGTGTCTCATTACCCATTCTAAATAGGCTTGTACTAACGGGATTATGATAAGGCAAGGTTCATGTCCTGCTATTTCTATTAGTCTAGATCTTCCGTTCATGATTAGTTGAGACAACAACTCAAATCGACTTAATATCGACTTCTTTGGTCTAAAAGCTAGAAATATCCATTCTAAAATTCACAAAGGATCTTTCAGTGCCGGATCCCACTGTGCAAATAATGCAAATGGATAATCACTACTCTTCTCGCCATTTATAACTATCAGCTGTATCAATAGGTCAGGGTCATATTGTGCTGCCTTAGAATTCACAATTTTATCCATCATACATTGTAAGTCTTCTGTCTGCTCTACGGACAACTGTCGTTTGTCATCTACATTAGTGCTAGTAGATAAAAGCCGCAATAACAGTGCTAAGTCCTCATTTGAAACCCCAAACAAATTTCTTATCCATTGAATGTCACCTACTAGTTTCTGAGCATCATTTAATGTAGGAATGTCCATTTTTAATGTTATTTTCTGCGGCCTAACCTGAGTGTCAGTGATAACCCAACCAAGGTAGTTCCAGGAAGAACTTTTTTGTATTTTCTCGGGGGCTACTTTAAGTCTCTTCTTCTCCAAACATGGTATTAATTCCTTGAGGACTTGATCAGAATTCGTATTTTCCCCTGCAATCAATATATCATCCATATAGTGATAGATCAGAAATTGAGCAAATCTTTCTCTGATTGGTTTCAAAGCCCAAGCAACAAAATGTTGACACATGGTGGGAGAGTTTTTCATTCCCTGTGGTAAAACTGTCCATTGATACCATCGTGCAGGCTCTGCCTTATTTATTGATGGTACTGTAAAAGCAAACTTCTCTTGATCTTCAGGATGTAACAGTATAGTAAAAAAAACAATCTTTCAGATCAATAATAAAAATGTTCCAATCTACTGGAATCATTACCGGGGAGGGCAATCCAGGTTGTAAGGCTCCCATATCATGCATTACTGCATTGATCACACGTAGATCATGCAACATATGCCATTTCCCATTTTTCTTTGGGATGGTAAAAATTGGGGTATTCCATGGGCTAGTAGAGGGAACTATATGTCCTGCCTCTAGCTGCTCTTGTACTAACTCTTGAATCTTGGACAGCTTTTCTGCATTGAGCGGCCATTGATCAACCCATACCGGTGTTTCAGTTTTCCACCTTAGTTTTAGGATTGGCTGTCCTTCAATGGCCGTGATTAAAAACCCTGAGATGTTAGCCTCGAACCCAGTTGACTCAAGATGTCTCACCCAATCAATGCGATGGGAACGTTCAAAACGTATGGTCGCGTTTTCACCACAGAGCCATCAGAAAAACAGAAATTTAAATGCTCTTTGCTCACACTAGTGCATTGCATCCCACCAATTCCATAAATCCCTTCAGTGGTGTGTATTAGCTGCTATTCTTTCGGCCATTTACTTCTGGGAATTACGGTAACATCTGCTCCCGTATCAAGTATCATTTTTAAAACAATGGTTTCATTTTTTGGTCCCATAATTCTCACTGTCTCCTCTGGTTTTGACTTTTGAATATTTAAGGCCAATAGCACTGCAGGTGAACCAGAGGATCCAAAACCTGCATCTCCTCCGAGGAGTTTGCCAGATTTTGGTACTCGGGATTCAAATGGAACTAACTGCGCTATGCGTGCACCTTTCGCAATATTCACGGGTGGCGTTATTGTTTGGACCATGATCACGATCACACCAGTGTAATCAGCATCAATTACTCCTGGCAAGACAGAAATACCCTGTCGAGATGTTGACGATAGCCCCAACAATATCGCACATAATCCATGACCAAGAGGTCCTTTCATGTTTGATGGAATGCAGTGCACCTTTGTGTCTAACAAAGTTACTTCTACTGCTGTTGCCACGTCCACTCCGGCACGTCCTGTGGTGGCGGAGGGGACGCTGTCCAGACACCCTGTATTTGTGTCGTGGCGCGCGGGGATCTCAAGGGTTTCCCAAAACTCTGCCGCTGACATGATACTTTGATTTACATTCTTTAGTCATGTGGCCTCTTTTCCCACATC